TCAACAGCCTGTGAAAGCCAGTTACCTCCATTTAGTGTTACACAAAGCTGATTAGTGCCCAGTTCAGTGAGTGTTAAATTCACAGAATAAAGGCATATTCTTCATGGTCTGGCTTGGTTTCAGTAATTCTCCTTCATGTCCTTCTCCTTTTTGTCTACCTGGGACATTTCAGGTGTTACATCTCAACATTTACTGCCACCAGAAAACTATGTGTGTAAACCATGAGGTCGTGTTTCTCGAGAGGCTCAACTGGGACCCCAGAATTCACAAATGAACCTGCCTAGCCTCAGTGACTTCACACTGTGTTCCAGAAAACTGGCAACTCTCCGATATCAACTCCCTTAAGAAAGAGATGGTTATTGTGTTACTTTTCAATCTAATGTTGCACAGTCTCAATATTACCATTTCATCTCCTGCATGAAAAAGCTGCACAATCTTTTATTACTTAAAGATTAGAGTGCTGAAATACACAAACATCACACAGAGTGCACAGTCATGCTCATACTGGGGGAAGTCCTCTCAGCTCTACTGCCCCCTATGTTCCAGAGTCAGGAATCACTTTGACTTGAGCAAATATAGCCTTGGCCCTTGGCTCACTCTTGGCTCCTACATCCACTGTGAGAGTGAGGAAAATGTCAAAGCCTGAACACTGAAACCCTTCCAGCTCTGACCGACCTTGGCCTCTCACCTCTTTGTGTAGAGATGCAACAAAGGTCTTACAGATTTTAATACAGTATCAGCCTAAATTAGCAGAGTAGCTGCTGTTTTCTTACAGCTATCCTGAAAACCCCCCAGTTCCAGCACCACAGTACTTACAGGTGCGCCAGGCCCGCCTTGCGCACAGCAGATGAAATGGCTTTGATGGCGGTAAGAATGGCGTTGATCAGCTGGGTGAGCTCTCCGGTGGCTCCTTTAGCCTGGCGGCCAGTCTCGATGATGAACCGGGTCAGGGTCCATACATCTGTGTCAAACGCCGACTGGTCGGACATGCTGGGTTCTGGTTGTGTTGTCGCTCCCGGTGGGCAGCAGGACGTGTGTTCACGCAGCGGAAGGCGGACAGCAAGTAGGCGGCCCCATTACCAGCCAAGTCCTTTTCATACCCAGAGGCGTGAAGGCAAGCCAGAGGATCTATTTGTGAGTAAAGGAGTGCGTGTGTATGTGTACGTATTTGGGGATGGGCAGGAGAGCGTCGGGTATCAGATGAGGAGACTGGCACAGTTCACTCCTGCACAAGACAAACACATGTCAGCTCTTTTATTCACAGGGTCAAAAAAAAGGTTACTTGGGTAACACGAGAGCTCTGATGCACATTTCTCAGTATTTATACCACATTGTTTGCACATGAACTTGAGAACAGTGTTGCCACAATAGAGGAACAACTTTCTATTTTTCACATTCAGGTTCATAAAACGTGATTTATAACAATTACATTAGGACAGGGCATGTTTATAGCAAACAATGATGCTTCAGATAAACTGTCTGCCACTGAACAAGCACAGACATGTAATCCTGCAACTTATGGTTTAAAAAGTTTTTATTTTTGCAGTAAGGTGTGTCTGAGCTGTAGGACGCTGTAGGAATGTGAAATGAGATGATTCACATATTGGGAGCACAAACAGACTCAGTTGCCATGTTTTTAGCACAACAGCAGCTCAGGCGAGCTTTAAATGGCATCAGGGCTCTGTGAGCTTCAACTGACATTTAGCTCAAAGGTCGACTCCTGTGGCTTAAGTATCTGTCACAAGCTGTATGTGTAACTTTTTCCATTTTCAAAATAAAATTGATTTAAAGCACAGAATGGGACTGAAGTTAACAGAGATTAACCAAAACTGTTTGTTCCCTAGAGCGATAAACATGAACGGACTCAAGTGTAAAGTGCAATATCATTAATCATATTACATACTGTGATAATTAAGTATCCTTTTATCTTTGACTTTTTTATTGTGAATCAGGAACAGTGGTTAGTTCTGCCACCTCACAGCAGGAAGGTTCCAGGTTTGAGCCCGGGCCAACTTGGGGTCTTTTTGTGTGGAGTCTGCATATTGTCCCTGTGCCTGCGTGGGTTCTCTTTTTGGGGTACCCCCTGCTTCATCCCACAGTCCAAAGACATGCAGCTTAGGTCGACTGGTGGCTAAATTGCCTGTAGGAGTGAGTATGGCTGTGTGTGGTTGTCTGTCACTGTCAGCCCTGTGATAGACTGATGACCTGTTCAGGGTGGACCCCACCTCTTGCTCAATGTCAGCTGGGATTGGCTCCAGCCCTAAATCACTGTCATGTTAACTTGGTTGTGTTCTGCTTTGTGTTTTGAAGCACCCATAGGAGTTGCACTACAAATTTCGTTGTACTTACACAATGACAGTAAAGGCAATAACATCCCAAGTATCTGTATGTTCCGTCAGTTTAAAACATGCATGAGGGACAAGACTGGCTTCATGTTTCTTGACGTACCTTAAATATTTCCCCAAAATGTTAAGATTGTCTTGCTAGGCTTTATGATGGTGTCAAAACAGACACTATTGTTAAAGGATGTGAGACTTTTTGCAAACACATTTCAAAATGATGAAAAACAAACAGTGCTTTAGTCTTCTTGGACTCATTAGGATTTATTAAGAAACTTCATGATTCACATGATCAAAGGCATCAGGCTTTGTTGCACAGCTGTATTCGGTCCTTCACTCATCTAGAATGGATGTTCATTCTAATTAAAGGCACAAATGGAGGCAAACTGAGGAGTAGCACTCTTTAGTTTTGTTTATTCAAGTACACTTGTCTCTGTTTTGACTAATTGTTGGTCTTTGGTTTGTGGAATGTTTGTGTGAACTTATGTTTCCAGTCAATTTATGAAAATAGAATATTTGTATGGCACAAAAACCGTGTAATTCCAAATTTGGTCATATTTCAAGTCCTACTTTGAGAAAATTCCCTGACATCTTTGGCCTTTCAAGACATTTATAAAAACAAAAAAAAACAAACACACTTCCACCAAGCCGCCACGTTAGGCCACTGGATTGTGCAAGTGAGTGGGCATGGCTTCACTTCTTGGCGTGTTTATGGCAGAGGGCGATGTACTCCTGCACATCCTCGAGGGAGCCCATAGCCACAGGGACCCGCTGATGGATGCTCTCGGGCTGGATGTCCAGGATGTTCTCGAAGCCGGTGGATGCCATGCCGCCTGCCTGCTCCATGATGAAGGCCATGGGGTTGCATTCATACAGCAACCGCAGCTTTGAGGAAGAAAGGGAGTTTAGTTTCTGGCCCCAATGTCAAACATCTATATTCTAATCTAAACTTTTATTGCTTGTTTACATGGCTCTGAGTGGTTTAGCCTGCCTCTTACAGAGTTACTACTTCTAGCCACTGCAGTAGGTCTTTGAATACCACAGCATCAAATGTACCAACAGGTTGACATGTTTCAAGTGTAATCTTCCAGTAGTTTGATATGTGAGGTGGCAGGAGGAAGCAGCAGCAGTAGGACGTTACCTTTCCCTTGGGACTCTTGACATTTCCTGGGTATAAAAAGATGCCTCCGTACATCAGCGTTCGGTGGACGTCTGCCACCATAGAGCCAATGTAGCGGGTGCTGTAGGGCTCGCTGCCGTCCTGGAGAGATTTTAAATGTTGCATTAGTTACTGGGCAACCTCTACATTTTAAATGACCAGTGTCTCAGCAGTGCAACATCCAGAGAAAAGCATCTCATCCAAAAGGTGCAGAAAAAAAATAATATCCTGGCTTATTTACATTTTAATCTGTGCTGATTAATGCACTGCCCCCAATTCATAAACAAAAACATTTTGTCATATTGACAGATACAGGAAAGGACACTGAAAACAAGAGTGCTGGTTTCAAGGCCTAGAACAGACAGGACAATCTCCAAATGGAAAATAAATCTACCTTCCAGTCAATATCCACCACTAAGATGCTTCAGATAAAGCACCAAACCCCAACTACTCCACTGAAACTGTGGACTGGCCACAAACAGGAGACCAGCTGGATATTATTAATTTAGTTTACACTTCATTGTAAAAATAGAAACACTATTTGGCCTGAAGCTCTGGCTGCACAGGTCCTGGTGTCAGTGTTACCTGAGGGAACTTCTTGTTCTGCAGGTATTCGGTCACTGCGGGGTCAAAGTATTTCGAGTACCCTTCGTTCAAGCTGTAGAGTTTGCCTCTCTTCTTGATCTTCACATTCCTGTTAACCAGGATAAATTCACCAATTGCCTGATGAGCAGACAGCAAACTGATGTCAGAAACACACGTTCTATACAAAACCAATTTGCACATTTGAAGAGAGCACTAACTGGGTCAAGCATGAAACAGTTGACTCCCTGGCCCGTGGAGAGCACTATCATGGAGGCGCTGCCGTAGAGGGCGTAGCCAGCCGCCACAAGGTTCCTGCCGGGCTGCAGGGCGTCCTTCTCACATGGCTCGCCGTCTGTGGCCTGAGAGAAACAATGTGGTTTGCTTTCGTCACTGATTTAAAACTTCACAAGTGAGTTGGTCACCGGTGTACAAACAAAGGTTTAAAAAGATAATCCCATTTCTTCCTCCCTGAAAACAATGTAATCTTTGAGGAAATGCACAATCACTGTAAAGGTTTTTGGCATGAAACTGGTCAAAACTGAGCAGAATTTACATCAGCATATAAAACAAACAACGTCAGGGCTGCGTAAACTCAATCTACCGTCACTTGGCTTTAAGACCGTAAATGTTGACAATACAAACTATTTATTGTGTGAATTTCATGACAAAACCTACGTGAATACCTTTCTGTAGATGCCAAAGATGCTACCGATGGAGACAAGACAGTCGATGTTGGAGGAGCCATCCAAAGGATCAAAGCACACAATGTATTTACCCTGGAAAAGAGGGAAAGTACTAGAAATTACAGGTGTATTTTGCTTTTGACAGAGCTTACTACACACAATTTTACAAGTTTGATATGTTCTGGACTGGTCAAGATGTCAACCTGTTACTTCTTTATGTGGCCTTTCTGACAGGAACTCGCATATTTTAAATCAACGATTAACTCACTGATGGCTGTAAATGAAAATAAACATTCAGGAAAGATTCTCCCCTGTTTTGCCCTGCATTACCCAGGAAACAACAAACGAAACCAAACCTTGATCTGACATGAGACAAAGCAGCAGGTTATGTGAACTCAGAGGGTACCTATAATGTCTACTCGTCTGTCACATGTCCACGGATCACTGCTTCTGTTCCAACACCTACATTAGCTCTCTGCTCGCTTCACCGTCTCACTTACCCTTTTTTCAGGCTCTACAATGATGGCTTTCTCATTCTCTTCAGACACCAGCACACAGGAGGTAAAGGATGACTTGATCATGTTGATGACCAGATCGTTGGACAGGATGTCCAGCTTCTTCACCTGGTCACCTGTCACATTGGTGTTTCCAGCAATGCCGTAACTGAGAAGACACAAAAGAAACAGTGAGCGAAAACTGGCATGAAAGGAACTGCACTTCTCTGTACACAGGAACCTACAATACCATGGAATAAGGGTGCACTAACAGATAAACTATTCTACATTGAAAAATGGTTTGTTAAAACAGCGCTGCAATTTTGTACTGACTTTAATTTGAGTGAAACCATAACAGCATAGATGTGAATAATATAATACTGCAATCAGCGCATGACACGGCGTTTCTAATCTGCAGAGGTTTAGTGGTGACTGAGTAAAGAATGACATCAAGGATAAGGATAATCACCTTTATTGGCCAAGTATGTTACACACAAGGAATTTGTTTCCAGTACAGAATCGATGGCAGCCATCTGCGGCACCGCCTCTAGCCATCAGGAGCAATGGGGATTTCAGTGTCTTGCCCAAGGACACTTCGACACGTGGACTGCCGGCACCGAGATTCGAACCTTCAACCTTCTGGTTAAGAGACGACTGTCATCCCTTATGTGGCTGGTTTATCAGAGAAGTTAAAAAGGATATTTCGCAAACACAATATCCCAGTTAACTTTAAACCAGGGAACACCCTGCGGCAGAGACTGGTCCACCCGAAGGACAAAACACCCAGATATAAACAGAATGGTGTGGTGTATGCAATTAAGTGTAGTCAGGAGTGTAATGACTTGTACATTGGTGAAACTAAGCAGCCGCTTCACAAACGCATGGCCCAACACAGGAGGGCCAACTCCAGTGGACCAGAGTCAGCAGTCCACCTCCACCTGAAGGATAAAGGACATTCTTTTGAGGACAGTGAAGTCCAGATCCTCTCCAGAGAACATCACTGGTTTGAGAGAGGAGTTAAGAAAGCTATTTTTGTCCAAATAGAACACCCCTCACTAAATAGGGCTGGTGGACTAAGACACAGTCGGTCGACAGGGAAGGATTCAAAGATAGGTAACAACTCTCACCGATACTGGGCTATAATGACTCAGTCGTTAAGGGACATTGTTGGCCTTCAAAGGACTGAAACACCACCGAGGGGGATAAATATCTCCGGCTCAACACCAGTCAGTCAGAACTGATGAAGCCTCTTGGATGAGAGGTGAAACGTCTTTGACCTAGAAATCTAGTCCAGTTGATTTTCAGATCAGCTACAGATGTTTTGCACAAAGGCTCTGTGCTCAGGGGCCATGTCTGAACAACACAAAGTGTCGCGTGTAATAAATGGGTCATAAATACATGGGATTGAGCTGCAATTGTATAGTAGAGAGGTTTCAGAGGAGCAGTGGCTGAGATAGTATAAATGCTACTATACAATGCAATAATACTAAATATTAATACTCAAACCTAAATACATAGCTGGCACCAGTGTACTTGATAAACAACACGTAGGCTAAATATTACCAAAGTGGGCGTGGCATTTTCAGGTATTCACTTCCTGCTATTCTGCTCAGTTTGTGCCAACGTGGAGGGGTTGTCTGAAACTCCAACTATTACGCATGAGCTGACATTACGAAGTAAAACGCTCAGTGATGCATAGTTACTCACAGGTGGGCGATCCCAGCTTTGCGCACAGCGCTGGAGATGGCCTTCACCGCCGTGCACAGCGAGTTCAGCAGCGTCGTCAGCTCTCCTGTACCCTTCGCCTTCCTGCCCTCCTCGATAACGAACCGGGTCATGGTGACCACGTTGGTATCAAAAGCTCCTCGCTCGGACATGGCGGTAGTTTGTCTCCAACAGCCTTAGAGCGAAGTTGGAGGAAACGCTGTGCAGGACCTAAATGCGCTGCAACGCGGAACTGTGTGGAGGAGTGAAGCTATCCGGACCAATCCAGAGCTGCAGGAGAGGTGTGGCCCGCTGGAAACACTACCCGCGTTGTGCAAACTCACCCGGGTACTAGTGATGAAATTATGCACCCAGTAGGATGTTGACTAGAACAATAGGCGCTGTGCAGGGCAGTTAGTAAGTACAGTAATTAATGTGGTTACGCAAGGCGGGTCGTAGCGTGTCTGAACAGTTTCATATTTATTACCTATGCTCTTGGACAGATTAACACTTGAGGTTTCAGACTTTTTGTCCCAGATTTTATAATTGTTTGTAATTAACCCAGAGTATCCATCTCCTCAAAAATATACAAACGTTTCCTCGATTATGGTGAGGGACTGTTTCATAGTCTGGCTCCAGTTAATTATAGGGAATCCGAAAGATCCAGCACAGTTTTAATGCGCTTTTACAGTTTAGGTAAGTCCCCTGCTTTAATATGGCAGTGCTCTTTATTGCCCATTATTAGTGGCAGTGTGATTTAGAGGAGGCTGCTTCACCTGTTGTGGTGTGTGAATGACAGATAGGGAGCAGTCACCACGTGGCAGATTGATGGCTTTAGTCTTTGGCACTGAAAACAAAACTGAGTAGTTACTGCAGTGACTTCCCTGAATACAGCTGGAGCTCTCAAACTGCTGTTTCTCTCTGCTGCTGTCTTTACTCACAGAACTGAGCTACATTAAAGTTCACTTTTAACTAATGTTATGCCGATATCTTCTGCAGCAAGTGTTAATGTTAGCTACAGATAGGTTATAGCTAATATTAGCTGTAACTAACATCAGCAATGCACAGCTGCTTATCAGAGACTTTGTGTAGGATCTTCTGGAACTGTCTCCCGCACAGTAATGTTAGGTGACACCATGTGGAACAGGGCTAAATAATTTTAGGCTTCCCTTGAGTGGAAAAATGCTAGTATAGGAAAATTGATGGTCTGAGCTACTGGTGATCTTGGGGAAGCCATATGACGCTGAAGTTGGCTTCTGATTTGACAGTTAAGGGTGATGTTACAATACAAAGTGACATTTTCTCTGTCAAATGTTTTCTTTGAAAGTTTAACACCATGCTGCAGACAAATTGTTCCAACAGCTGCAGATCGTTGATAAATATAAATTAAGACTTAACAGCATATTGAGTAAAAACATTGATCTGCCACCATTTTCTGTAAGGAAAAAGAGAAACAGACCAGTTTCTAATTCACTAACATTTTTACAGCCAAGTTATTATTTCAGGCAACACCCTGAGGCCGTTAGTATAATACCAGAAAATATCCAGGATGTGTTTAAGTTAAAACTTTAAAAGCTAAAAACTACTATTTAAAAACAAAAGTCCAAACACCAAACTAAAGCTTAACAACTTTTAATTGATCACAGTAAAAGCTTTCAGATGACAAAGTGGCATAAAGCCAGGCAAAACAAAATCAGAATCAGAATGAGAATCAGAAATGGCCCCATTTCCCAAAATTCAGTGTTTGTCTTCATAAAACATGGAAGACTCTCCTGTCAGTGTCGTCCCTCGTCTCCAGCCAAACTATTGAGATTAAAACACTATGATGCAGATCAGAATCAGTTTTATTGGCCAGGTGTAATGGACAAAGAGGAATTTGACTCAGGTTGTTAGACCAGAGGGTAACTGGCTTCTGTAGCTATTCCACAGTTGTTCTTTCGGTCCTTGGCCATGTAGATGTAACCTTTGTTTCCCCTACAACCAGGGACAGGCTGCTGACTCACTTCAGAGAGGATCCCCATTTATTTCTCATTTTTAAAAAGTATCTGCAGTGTTCCTGTTAAACCATTAAAACTGTTTAAAATTAGGCATTGGTGGTAAACTACTGTATCAAACACAATCAAAAATCAGGCTCAGAAGTTCATTCCATAAATGCTATTGGAAATAAAAATGAAATTCCTACTCCTCGCCCTACTCTCTCTTCAGGTAGTACAAAACCTGTGAACATCACAGGCATAATTTCCAGCAGCAGAGATACAATTCTTTTTACTGACCTGTTTTTGACAACCCAGTAACTCTTTGTTTTAGCGTTGACATAGCCCACCACCAATACGCCATGATTCAGCACCCTGCTGCTGCAACTTGGGAGAGATACAATTCTTTTTACTGACCTGTTTTTGACAATCCAGTAACTCTTTGTTTTAGCGTTGACATAGCCCACCACCAACACCGCGTGGTCCAGCATCTTGCTGCTGCAATACGGCTCGTAATAGATTCCTGAAATACACCAAAAACCAGCAGCAAGTTAATAATGGATCACTGACTTTTTATTTATTTATTTGGAAGTGGAGTATTGAGACTTTTAGCCCTGTTTTTGGTCTCTACCACACCCTGAAGGAAATATCTGGCTCTTTAGCCACTGAACACTCCACTGTGTTCACCAGCTGCTGTCCAACTGTCTGCTGTTTGGTTCTGAGCAGACGGTGGACAGCGTGGAGCACTTCAGTTAAAACCAGCTGCCTCCAAAAACAACACTGTGATGGCTGTTGGGGTGAACCACGATAAAACTGTCCTCACAGAAACACAATGAGCTGAAACTAAGGGTGTTTCAACAGCTTCGAGTTCATGCAGATCACAGACATCTCAGTGTTTTTCCCATTAAATTTTAAGTGTATTTCTTTCAAAAACAAGAACTGGTTTTGGTGATGCATTTCACACACAGGAGGAAAAGATCAGCTGATTAATTAATACTGTGTCATCTGGGGGGAGGGGGTTGACCAGGGTTCCTCCTACAAATATATAGCTATATGAATGGATGGTTGTCTTTCATTTAAGTTACATGTTGATAAATTGGTTAAGAAATTAAGATTGAAGTCTGACTGATCAAAACTGTCAGACTACAATACGAGATCACAACAAATATATCAACTCAGGACTCTGCATGTAAGAACGGAGTTGGGAAAGAAGGCCTTCTCATTTGCTGCCCTGAATACTTGGAACAGCTTGCAGAAAGAATTCAAAATGGCTAAGTTGGTTTCTCTCACTGAAGGTAAGACCATAGTTCAGTCATTGGTATCTGCTTCTTATGTAACTTTTAAATGATTTGCATGCGACTTATGATTTTAGCTGTTTTGTGTAAGTTCTCTTATTTTGGCCAGGTCCCCCTTGAAAAATAGGTTTTTAATCTCAATGGGGTTTTTTACCTGCTAAAATAAAATTTAAAAACTGACCTGATGTGTAGAACTGGAAAGATGGGCGGCTGGCATCGATGCCTACAGACACAGGTCCCACAGTGCCCACAGCGCTCATCAGAGCAGCCTCACTACCGCTGGCGATGTCGACATAGCCGGTGCAGGTGGCTGCGCTGTACGCGGGATTGTAGAGACACTGCTGCTGATCCTGAAGAGGATGAATAGACAGTGAATGGGATGTTATGGAACCACCACAGGCCTCTAGATCAACTCAAGAAAAATGACAGATTAACAGATAAATTTGTCCTGCAGAAGAAGAACAGTACATCAAAGTCTAAACCATGATTTAAGATCAAAAACTACATTCAAGACCATTTAAAGCCTTGAAATGTGACTTTGGAGACTTAAGATGTGTCCACTTCCTCTCATTAGATACCTACCGATCCCAGGTAAGGATAGGAGTCCTCAGTGTCCAGGCCCTTACTTGCATTGACATAGTTGAAGGCATAGGTCATCAGACCGCCGTTGCAGCCCATATTGCCTTGAGGTCTGGAACAGTCCACCAGGTTCTGCTCGCTCAACGACACCAGATTGCCGGTCTTCTTGTACATCTGGCCCTCCAGAGCTCCGGTGGCGCTGAAGGCCCAGCAGGAACCACACAGACCCTGGAGAGAGAGAAGAGGATGGTTTCATTTAGATCAGATGGTAGTGAGGAATTTGCTTAAATAAGAGGTGTCTCCTTCTGTTCAGGACCATTAAACCAGTATTTCAGGTCACCTCGGTTATACAGACTTAAATGTTATCTGTTGTTTTTGTTACGTTACTGTGGGTATGCAGTCGGTGCTGTAGGGCATTTAGCTCAGTCAGAAGTTCCCGTAGCGTGAGATCCTGAAATAAACTGTGATAGGAAGTGATCCACTAATCACATTGACATAATGTATATGACAGTGTTTGCTCCACTGTTTATGGTGAGCCAGTCAGTCTGGTTCCAGCCTACCAACTGTTAAGGTATAATGAGGGGGTGGAGGGAATGAACTGTGCAGACAGGGAGGGGGCGAGTGTGACGCAGCAGATAACCAAAACAATCCGTGTGTGGTCAACTTATCTGTGTGACACAGAACCTTCACTGCAGTGGACACAGGACATATGGTGCCTCAGAAGTCCAAAGTTGCACATGGCGTCATGTTTACCATGTTTCCTAACAGCTGATATTGGACCATGTGTAGCTCCTGTAACACTAACTTAACTGTTGTTTTAGACGAAAAGTAAGATCGAAGATGTCTTCACCTAAAACTCCCTACAGAGTAGCATCATGACTCCTTCCAAGAAGTAAAACGTGTTCAACTGCACCTTAAACTTGTACCAGGTGTGGCTAGAGCCCTGAGTCACGTTACCTGGTTCTTCACAGGAGTAACGTAGCCAAGGGGCCTCCAGTCCACAGAACTTATTGCGACGGCCAGGCTTTTGGACTTCGCTGAGACGGAGTTCTGGGTGTTCCCCGTCGTCTGCTGGGTCACTGTTGGTTCCGGACTGAGGCCAAAGATGAGCTCCATCTCTTTGCTGGTCTGTGGAAAGGCAAAGTTGAAAGAGTCTGTAACACTGACAGTGTGAGTTAGGAAATGTGGTGTTTGTGTGTTTTTAGCAGCAAACCTGCACCAATTTTCAGTAATTATTGTCACCGGCAACTCAACTTTTATTGTCCTTGCTCCGAGTCATGTTCCAGTTTTATGCACAATACATTGTTTGCCTCACACACCATATCTGGTTTTATTTGATACCACAATTTTTTGTTTTGTTGTTGCTTTGTGAAGTTTCTAACTGTGTGCAAATCAAATCAATTTTCCTTGAACTTCCTTCATTTCCAGACCTTCATGAAACAACTGATCGGTGTTTTCAGGCGATACGAGTCTGCATGTTAAAACCATGGTCCTACCAGGTCCGAGTACTGGTTCGTGCCCATGGTGAAGGAGTGTTTGCCCTGGGCCGCCTCCGTGTTGTGCTGCTTGACCAGGTTATTGTTATTCTCCCATATCAGTTGCCGCCAGGGCTCCTCTTCCTACACACAACAATAACATGTTGGACTTGTTATTTTTGCTGGAAATGGAATTGTTTACTAGAGTTAAAACTAAGGAAAAAAAAACATTACCTGAGGGTATGTTTTACTGTGATCTGTCTTCCACTTATTCCAGTCCTTATCCAGCTTTGGGTCCTTAGTGGAGGCTGAGAGGACTGCGCTCAGACACACGGCCAACACAGCTAGAGACAGCATTGTGTCTTCCTACTAGAAAACAACACACGAGTTAGGACACTAAAGTAGCAAGGTGATGACTGATGGGGCTCTGACTGTGAGGAGGAAAACACATTTCGTTACAAGAGACATTTCTTTTTCCTCGGGAAAAGGACGAGTCATACTAATTATTGATGAAATTCCTGCATGAACTCCAAGTTCACTTCTGGTCTTTTGCATGTAAAGGCAGGAACACCAGCAATCTGTTGAAATATCTAATGAAAGAAATGCAGTTTTCCACTGACTAGCTCATAGTTCCTCTCCTTGCCCGGGTATGTTATTTATTTAAGCTGCTCAGAGTTAAATAAACTATACTAATAAGGGTTCATGATGAAATATCGACATTATTCAGTTGATGGTTGTGAGTTTGTTCATAAATCCAATCTGCAATGGTCAAAGCATCATGTGAACTGGCATTCAGAAGCCGTTTCACTTGAGAGCGCTCAGAGCAGGGGCGGAGATAATGATTTCAGGGCTGGAGGCACCTCGCAGTTAAAGTACTATCAAAAATGTTTTATGTATCTATTTATTTTTTTACAT